TTTTTTTTGGAAACCATTTTATATTTTTTTTTTTCAGGATTTTTTTTTTTTTCAAAAGTGAAACATTTATTTGAAATAGAGATCTTTGCAACATTATAAATGCTTTACTGCCACTTTTGATTAATGCATCTTAAATTGAATGCTGAATAAAAGTATTCTTATTATTATTACTACATATTTTGAACATAAGTGTATTAATAATTATTATTATTATTTATATTTGCATTAAATTAACTTTAAAAAAAATAAAAATCCATTAAGTACATTCAAATGTTTGGGATCAGTAAGTAAAGGAAGTAAGAAAGAAAGAAATTACTCAATTATCAAGACTTTAATATGGTTACAAAAACCTTTCTGTTTCAAATAAATGTATTCTTTTGTTGTTCTTTTGAACTTTCTGTCCATCAAAGAATCCTGGAAAAAAAAAAAAAAAAAACATACAGTCACAGTTTCCACAAAAATATGACAACATTATAAATGCTTTACTGCCACTTTTGATTAATGCATCTTAAATTGAATGCTGAATAAAAGTATTCTTATTATTATTACTACATATTTTGAACATAAGTGTATTAATAATTATTATTATTATTTATATTTGCATTAAATGCATTAAATTAACTTTTTAAAAAATAAAAATCCATTAAGTACATTCAAATGTTTGGGATCAGTAAGTAAAGGCAGTAAGAAAGAAAGAAATTACTCAATTATCAAGACTTTAATATGGTTACAAAAACCTGTTTCTGTTTCAAATAAATGTATTCTTTTGTTGTTCTTTTGAACTTTCTGTCCATCAAAGAATCCTGGAAAAAAAAAAAAAAAACATAGTCACAGTTTCCACAAAAATATGAAGCAGCAGCACAGCTGTTTTCAACATGGATAATAACCAGCAATTTTTCTTGAGCAGCAAATCAGCATATTAGAATGATTTCTGAAGGATCATGTGACACTGAAGACTGGAGTAATGATGCTGAAAAAATGTAATTCAACTTTGACGTCACAGGAATAAATTAAATTCTACAATATATTCACACAGAAAGCAGTTATTTTATATTGTAATAATATTTCACAATAAATACAAATACTGTATTTAATGATCAAATAAATGCAGCCTTGGTGATCATGACAGACATTAAAACATCTTTCAAACAATTGTGTACAATGGCTCCAAAAAAAAGTTCTTCTGATGATTGAGACAAACTCTATGCACACTTTGTCGTTGTCAAATATGAAGCATACGCTAGTTAATGTAATTCTCACCTGTGTGAACGGACGTCATACATCCACCAAAAATCACCTTGTTTTGTTAGAATTTTAAAAGAAAAAAATGTTCTGAGAAAACCTGCAGCATTTCCTTGCAGGTGCCACATGCTTTGCCATTCAGTTATTTAATGCAATTGCATTCAGACATTTTAAGTGCTCCTTAATACTTTTTTGGACCCTTATAATTAAGTCCGCATCACATAGGCCTATAATTTCATGAATGCTCCTGAAGTAAATAGTACAGGTGTAGTGCCGAAATTTGCACCCTGCCAGATTATGCACCCCCTAGTATTGGTAGGTTTAGGAGTAGGTGTGGGGGAGGGGTTAGGATTAGGGGTGGGGTTGGGATTAGGCAATCAAGGTAGCGACTTCAACTAGGGGGTGCATAATCTGGCAGGGGTGCAGAATTCGACAACACCGGGAAGTACGGCTCTTTTATTCACTCATGTAAAGGCAAAGGATGTCATCATCTCAAATCACACAGGTAGCCTAAAGCTCCTCTGAAATGAAGGTAACATACCTGCTGTCTCTCCCCAGCAGTGAGTGTCTCTCTGATCTGACTCAACGATCAGTCCCAATGCACAACTTCCATCTGCGGAACGAGAAGAAGTGGAGATGTTTGAGAGAGCCTTCATTTCCTGCCACTCACACCCTTACAAACAAGCATGTATGGCATAGTTTCTGTCAGTTATACATTGCAAACACACAATAGTTAGCTTACTACACAACAACAACAACAACGGTAGGGCTTTAATATGTGAACCGCTGTCATCAAAAACCGAAATAAAGTTAATTAATTAAAAAAGAATAAAATGAAAGATTCTGAAAGCTGTTTAAATGAAAGATTAGCGGTAATAGTAAGTACAGTAACCCAACTATGGTAACCATTACGGTAAAAGATTATGGTAACCATGGTAAAATTCTGTAACGGCTAAAGTCTGATACGAACCGTAGTAGTCTCAAACAGTGCACTGTTTACGTTACCTAGATAGTTTTGGCCATCACTAAACGCCTAAAAATGCTGTCTAGGTAGGCAAGTCACACTGTTTTAAGTCAAACTGCACACAAACTGAAAGCTTTTTAGTTAAAGACGCATTTCAAGACTCGAGTCCAGTATAGAGAACTAAGTTTCTCACCAGCTATTTTAGACAAGACGACTTTAATTGTTTGTTTCTTGGTCTGTTTGGGTTTCATTTCCACTTTGTTTCTAAACTTATTCTTTACATGCATCGGTTTCACCAACACAGTGCACGTATTCTGTATAATTATTAAATGTAAAGACGGATAGGTTTTAAAGCCATGCTTGACAACATAAATATGTAAATAATTCATTAATAACAATACTCCAAGAACGCGCAAAAAGAGAGACTGACGCATCGCTATCAAAATAAGCGACAGCATAATCATGCAAAGCTTTCAAAAGGCATAGCTACTGAAAAAGCCAGGCAAACTGACTTCCTTATAAAGACTAAAGCAGCAGGACACAGTTTATAATGTGAAAGACAGCCTGTACCTTATGTGAAAGATAAAAGCATGCAACAGGTCGTTATTCCCTTGTGTGAAACTCCTTCTTCTTCTTTTTGCAGAAGTCTTTACGCTTTGTTTTTAATGTCCAAATGCTTCCTCTGTTAAAGCTTGTCTTAATCCTTAGTTAGTAGTTATAATATCAATAATTCTTGTCTAGATTTGTCTTGAACTGTTTATCTATTGCTTAATAACCAAAAAATATATGTATATGCTTTTCTTTTTATGAAATGTTTCGCTAGAAAAAGTGTGTTTGTCTTCATCTAAAATAAATTATAGCCTACTTGGTTTGATATGTTGTTGTGTAAAGCGCGCTTAATTCATGTAATTTGCAAATAAATTACAATGTATTTTTGCAACAATCTGATTACATTTTTTACACGTTCACTAAAATTGTTTGAACTCAAGTTTAATTTTGAGTCTCTGTTCATCTTCAGGAGTTTTATCTTTCAATAGCAAGGAAACCTTTTGATTTCCTCCAAAGATAACATGTATTACAAAACAACCATGCATGATGCAAGACCGTGTAAATGTACATTATGTGCATATGCACATGTACTTTCAGTGCATGTCAGTCAGGCTTTTTTTCTTTTCTTTCTGTCTTTCTCAGTAAAACAGAACCGGTCAGCATTCACGCGCCGCACACGTGACTTCCTTATAAAGACTAAAGCAGCAGGACACAGTTTATAATGTGAAAGACAGCCTGTACCTTATGTGAAAGATAAAAGCATGCAACAGGTCGTTATTCCCTTGTGTGAAACTCCTTCTTCTTCTTTTTGCAGAAGTCTTTACGCTTTGTTTTTAATGTCCAAATGCTTCCTCTGTTAAAGCTTGTCTTAATCCTTAGTTAGTAGTCTGACATCCATTAAAAAGACCAGCAGCGATGTTCGGCAGTGGTGCGAGAGGGAGAAAGTGAGTTATTACAAGTACCTCGGTAAGCCCCGCCCCTGAGGCGGACGAAAATAGAAATGTGGGAGGAGTTCTCCAAAAATAGCGTGTGACGTCCCACGCCTGCATTCTCGCATTGTTTCCTTCTCTGTTATTTCATTGGCTGAGGCTGCAGCCACATCCACACTGCACTCTAGTGTACTCCAAAACTCTGTAACTACTCACCATCTAAACCACGCCATGTTTCAGTAGCACCGGTCAGCATTCACGCGCCGCACACGTGCTTTGAAACCACTACATGACCCGTTTCTCAGAAACCAGGACACACAGTGAGTGTCTCCAGTGAGTTTCTGATTTCCTCTGTGAGGCCCGATCGCTCAGTTCTCGTCACCGGCTTACACTGGCTGTGTCTCAAAACCTACCCACGTTCACCTAGACTGCTGTTCTGGCCATCGTACACCCATGCAGCATTTTTACTGCTACGAAAAACATTTTATACTTCAGTTTGGTATAAAGAAGCAACAAACACAGCACTTTTCCTTTCATACGTGTAGTCAAATATGTCGCTTTTGACAGTGAAGCGGGTTCCAGCACATAAAACCTCAATGCTCTTTAAATACTTAAATCATTTCTTGGGCAGAGGAACCAAACAAAGACCCTTGAACACACACACACACACACACACACACATACTGCACACATATATAATGAAACTAAAGCAGTGTTGTGCTGCACCTAAATGCTCCTCCAAACGGGGGATCCCAACAGTCTTACCAGAAACCCTCATCTAAAAACCATTACGCCTATGGAGAGTCCCCACAAGGATAGCAAACCAGACGTGTGTGTGTGTGTGTGTGTGTGTGTGTTATAATTACACAGTCCTTCAGTCTGAATCATATCCGAGAGTCCCCACAAGGATAGCAAACCAGACGTGTGTGTGTGTGTGTTATAATTACACAGTCCTTCAGTCTGAATCATATCCAGCTGAAAATAACAAGACCACAATCTGACAGTGAAGCAGCACAGCAGGGGAACAGGCGATACACAACACACACACACACACACACACATGTGCGTCAAAGTAAACTCTCCTACACTGCCAGCAAAGCCTTGATTTTCAGCATGTTTAGCCTTTTAACGTCTATTGTATTCTATTGAATGCAGAGATTTATATAAACATAGAGCATCCAGTGGGGCTCGAAAGTCTTTGTTTGTTTAAAGCATAAAATAAACCATAAGTTTTAAACCGAAAGAAAAAAAAAAAAAGTTATGAAGTAAATTTATGATGAAATTTCTAATCAATTGTAAGTAAATTTGTGACACTGACCATGTGATATTCCTTTGTGCTGAAAGAACAACATTTTCAGTTCATGATGCTGGATAACATGAATCATCTGTTTATGCATAAACTTGAGCTTATGTCAGCTC